ATTTCTAGCAACAGGTTTAATAACCAATACTTGCTCAAACATTTCTCGAGCACTACCTTTAATTCATGTTACCACGCCAAAACCGAATAGGATTTTCTGATTCTCATATTATTGTAAGCATTAGAACAGACTGATTGATAGAATACTTATTCCATTGAAAATGTTAAGCAAAAACGTTTCGACAAAATAGGAATTACACGCAACATGATATAGTGATGATAGCGTGACTGGTTGTATTTTCGTAGATAAGATGAAGGACTAGTTAATTGACTTACGTTTTACCCCAGTTTTATTAGTATCTAATATTGAAAATATTTTCTACGCCACTTAACAACTGATGCAAGTATAGTTAGTTAAATTATTGAATTTAATTATAAATTTATCTCTTTTCATACCCCGTTATAAATTTATATATTAATGTAAAATAGTTATTGTGCGCCAGATCACCAATTCCCAGCTCCCTCTCCCTCTCTTACCTTCGTCTCAGCTTGTTTGAATCAAATCAAAACCATAATTTAAAAGTATTTTTATGGTATACGAAGTAAATATATGAAAGAGTTTATCTTAATTTGTAAAAGAGTGTTTTTAAATGCTATTCAAACACCTCCTCCTCGGTTGTTTTTTGAAGTAATCCACAAATCCCCCAACACATGGTTGTTTTAGTGCGGTTCGTGATTGCTGCCTCTCTCCATTCGGGCGTTGCTCAACCAGGGCTTTTGAGTTGCCCAGAAAATAGGATTTTCATATTAGTTAATACACAACCCAGTAGTGTAGAAAGTGAAGGATTATTTTTTTTCTTCTTAAACTCTTTTAAACCAATTAAATGCAACCAGGGTAGAAAACTTTTTTTCAAGTGCCGTAAATTAAACTTTTTGCAGAGTGTTTACTGAGAAGGAAACGCATGCGCGCCAAGTCACAAACCAAAAGAGCATTTCATGGATCTGCGAGGACAGCTGACGGGCGACGATTTGTTTCCCAAAGGCCGTCGAAAACGAACAAGGTATATGTTAAGTAGTGCTTAATAAATGCGTTTTTCGATGTGGAGTTCTTCCTTGAAGATCCTAGAAGCAGCGGCTTTATCCAGGTACCACACGATGTCTCCTTCTTCAGGTGAGATGAGTTTAGCAGGAAACACGCGTTGAGGAGCTTGTGGATCGTACTCGTCCTTGAGAGAATAATAGACTGCATTAGCTTTAGCAGAGCCAGCCACCACCATGGCGATGTTGGAGCTAGAATTGATGACCGGCAGAGTCAAAGTCAATCGCGTCTCGTTCCCGTCCTTGACGTGAGTCACCCATCTCTCTTTCTCCCCAAGAACCGGATGATCCGGGATCAGAGAACCCACGCGTCCATCTTCCTCCATGCCCAGCAACATCAGGTCGAATTTAGGAAGCCCTCTCCTGGATCTTGCCATCTCGTTTCTGGCAACCCAGTTTTGGAGGTTCTTCTCGTAACGTTCGGCTGCTTCTTGCGTAGCTGTTAGGTCGTAGTCGATCGTAACCACGTTTAAAGTCCCAGCTGTTCTTGCTACCTGGAGAATAATATTGAGTACTTGAACTAACCTTAGGTTCATGGAAAGAATAATGTAATTTTAATGCGTACCATGGAGAGAAACTCATCATAAACGAGCTTGTGGAGTAGCTCATTGGGCAGAAGTCGCCTTTTTAACTGGAACTCTGGCACGACCACTTCCTCTTCCACCCAAAAAAACTGCCACTTTGACCAATCTATCGTATTGATGTATGCAGGTTTCACCAACCTCCTGAGATTCCAAACTAACCATGCGTCAAAACTATATTCATTATTATTGGTCGTTTTTGTTATTAATGCAATATGACATAAAGCAAAACGCGGGGAGGAACCTGAGGAATCTGACGGAAGATGTATCGGCGAGAGCAACGGAGAAGGATCCCTTCTCTTGGATGTGTTTGTGAGAGAGTTGAACGATATCATGAGCCAGAGAGTCAAGAAGATGCTCCTGCGAGAAGACTTCCACGTTCTTCGTATAGCTCTTGTCCTCAGTCTGCAGTAATGCCTTCACTGTGCCGGAAAATCTCCTTTTGGATTTTAGGGTTTGGTGTTGGGATTTCGGTGCTGCTTGGGGTTGCAGCATCAGCGACGACGTGGTTTGGGACACTGAGTGTGACCTTTGGACACAGAAGGGCCTGTTCATTGAGACGCATGAAGAAGAAGAAGCGAGGAGAACAGTGGACAAGGCCATTTCTGTGAGGGTGTTGGATGAGAATAAGTAAGAATTGAGTTATAGCTCTGTGTGGTTTCTCATCACACAATGTGGCCCGTATTTATATGTCAGCATTATATTCTTGAATGTGGGTCTCAGAAGGAAAGGCCGAGAAGCAAATCGCATTCAAATCTTGGATTCTTTTGTCATAATCACAAGCAAACTTGATATGTTGAAACGTTGATGCATGCTTTATTAGTTCAATTCCTTAGACACATAGACTAAGAAAGGACGAGACATGATGACTTTTTTCAAGTTGAAGTTATGTTTAGCCTCCTTAAATTTCGAACACAGTCACTTAGTTTTATTGATATAGTCTCCAAAGACTAGGAATCTTTTCCAAATATAAGTTATGCTACCATATAAAATTAAGCAATAATAAAACGATATAGCGAAGAGTTGAATGAAACACTACATCGCAAGCTCAATTATTGACTACAATCGAATCAAATCAAATCACAGGATTATAAACAATAATTCATATTTTTAATTATTTTTTAAAATAATGTAACGTTGGAAGGGTATACTTATTTTTACTTTTTATCAAAATTATTTTTCGCAAAACCTTTGGAGACGTGAAGTCGTGACAGAGATGAATTCAGTAAAACAGGTTGACTAAGAAAGTTATTGAAAATATTTTTAAAAAATATCGCCCTGAAATTTTGCGAGACGTTATACCTAGGTTTTGAAAATTACGTCATACATAATTTTTCATCAAAATGTTCTCTATCAATCTCTCTTAATTTTTATAGAGACTTTTGTGGTTTTGAAATTAAAATTATACTATAGAAAATAATTTTAAAATTAAATGAATATTTTACTGAAAATTGATTAAAAACATAGGTCTTACTGAGCTGTAGGCCTCCTATTTTTCACAAAATTTGAGTTTAATTAATGTATTCTTTTAATCATTGAGACGAATCATTACATTCATAACTTTTATGATAGCATTGGTTAATAATACCAAGATCTTTAAAAGATTTATATGTTATAAATTAACATTATTGATTATTTAATAAACATAAACAGTCGGACAAAAGTAAACCGAAGGTACAGTGCGCGCCATTAAGGAACGACTCCTTTTGTAATACTCCTCCGGTCCTAATTATAAGACCCAATTGACTTATTTGAAGAGATTAAGGAAGTAAGTTAAGTTAGTTATTTATAATAAATAAGTGTTGTTATTCCTAAAATATCCTTGCTAATTAAGTATATTGGCTAAAACTATCATTATTAGAAGGATTATCTTAGAAAAAAAATGCATAAATATAAGAGAGAAAATGGATTGGGTCTTATAATAAGGACCGGAGGAGTAGTAAAGTTTTTACGCAAAAGAAAAAAAAAGGTAAGGTGGGATTCCTTTGTAATAGTAAAGCTTGAACTTTTCCAGTTTATAAAAATCTGTTGCAAGTTGGAACCCAATTGGAAGGGGAAAGATCTATTATACTCATCCAGTCATAAATATAAAATTTTTATACACACTAATATAAAAGTGTTATATTTAGGATCGGTGGATTAATTAAAATAGAGTATAAAAGTAACATGAATCTTCTTAACTTCATTAGTTTACTCGAGCTTTATATTGAACGAAGCGCAAAATTCAATTCACGTGGTATAATAGTGTAATTGTCCTGATGGCTAGATTGGACTGATTGTCGTGTGTATGTGAGATGATGAATCATCAATATATATATATATATATATATATATATTTATTTAAAAAAAAGAGTTGTAGCGAATGCGAGAAGCTTTTATACATAATAAAAATAAAAATGCTCACTTGTAAGTAGAGAAGAAATTGTCGAATTTCAACTACATTTTTGCCTATTTATAACTTTAGTTTGTGTGTATGTGTGTGTGTGTTTAGTTTAGCAAGAAATCTACTAAAGATCTAAAATTGACAAAAATGATATTAAAACTTAAAAAATTCACTTTCGTGGAAGAATTTCCAGCTAGGGCAGACATTTTTCAAAAGTTAATTACCATATCAAAATGTGTTTTCACATTAACAAACAAGTTTTTCAAAATTATCAATTTATGTACCTATAACAATGTGTAGCTTCCAAGTCAAGTGTAAGAATCATAACTTAACTAAGGGAAAACATTGTTAACATCTTTAGCAACATGTTTAGCCAATACCAAGTAAAATATATTTCTCCGGCTCTTTTATGTTACTGTACTACTCGCACAACTATGGATATAATAGGGCATCCTGCTTCTCATTTGGTAAGCACTACAGCAGAATGATTGATAAGATATATACTTATTCCCTTGAAAATGTTAAGCAAAAACATCTCGACCAATTAGGAATTGCACCTATACAAAAAAAAAAATCATTTTTATAACAGGATTTTGCAGCGGTTGTTGCGAGTTCAGTAAGATGTAAGACCAGCTAAATTTTTACATTGGTTTTATTGGTAGCCACTATGGAAAACAATTTCTATATAACGATTAACCCAGTAATCGGTAAAGATAGTTATTTAAATGATTGGATTTTAATTTAATCATTTTTTTTTTTTGTCTCCCCCAGTCTTTCGAATTTGGTTGGCAGGGTGCCCAAGGGTACTTGGTGCGGTCTGATTGGTCATTTCCACTCTTCGAGTGTCGAAAAAGCACCCCGCTCTATTCAATTTCACGCTTGGACCTGTGCTTTCATTTCCAATTCAATCTCATCTTCACAATTAGATTTGGAAGGCGGAACCTTATTGAACTAAAATGGTAAAGACATTGTTGAGAAAAAGATGGTGTGGGCCGTAAAACAACTTTTTTGCACTTAGTGTTTATTGAGAAGGCAGCATATGCCTGCCAAGTCACAAACCAAACAGCAAATTCATGACGAAAACAAAAGCAGAACATGTCATGGCTCTGCCACGACAGACGGCGACGGTTTATTTCTCAAAAGCCGTACGTCGACAATAATCCGACGAAAATCAAGAAGATATATTAATCAAGCAGTGGTGACTAATAAGGGCGTTTTTCGATACGGAGTTCTTCCTTGAAGATCCTGGAAGCAGCATCTTTATCCAGGTACCACACGATGTCTCCTTCTTCAGGTGCGATGAGTTTAGCAGGAAACACGCGTTGAGGAGCTTGTGGATCATATCGATCCATTAGAGAATGATAAACTGCATTGGCATTAGCAGAACCAGCCACCACCATGGCGATGTTGGAGCTAGAATTGATGACCGGCAGAGTCAAAGTCAATCGCGTCTCGTTCCCGTCCTTGACGTGAGTCACCCATCTCTCTTTCTCCCCAAGAACCGGATGATCCGGGATCAGAGAACCCACGCGTCCATCTTCCTCCATGCCCAGCAACATCAGGTCGAACTTAGGAAGCCCTCTCGAGGATTTTGCTATCTCGTTTCTGGCAACCCAGTACTGGAGGTTCTTCTCATAACGGTCGGCTGCTTCTTGCGTAGCTGTTAGGTCGTAGTCGATGGTAACCACGTTTAAAGCCCCAGCCGTTCGTGCTACCTGCAGAATACACACACACACACACACACATATTTATAGAGTACGCTAAGTAGCGATAGGTTTGTGGAAAGAATGAAAGTTGATAATACGTACCATAGTGAGAAACTCGTCGTAAACGAGCTTGTGGAGTATCTCGTTGGGCAGAAATCGCCTTTTTAACTGATACCCTGGCACGAACACTTCCTCTTCCACCCAAAAAAACTGCCACTTTGACCAGTCTATGGTATTGACGTATGCAGGTTTCAACAACCGCCTGAAAATCCAAACCATATGCATGTCAAACACACACACACATTCATTATTGGAGGTCGTTTAATTTTATTGATTGCAATATAACATAGAGCAAAATGCAGGGAGGGACCTGAGGAATCTGACAGAGGAGGTATCGGCAAGAGCAACGGAGAAAGATCCTTTCTCTCGGATGTAGTTGTTGGAGAGTTCAACGATATCATTAGCCAAAGAGTCAAGAAGATGCTCATGCGACAACACTTCCACGTTCTTCGTATAGTTTTTGTCCTCATTCTGCAGTAATGCCTTCACTGTGCCACACAATCTCCTTTTGGATTTCAGTGGTTGGTGTTGGGATTTCCGACTTCCTTGGGATGGCAGCATCAGCGACGACGTCGTTTGAGACGCTGAGTGTGACCTTTGGATACAGAAGGGCCTGTTAACTGGGACGCATGAAGGGGAAGAAGTGAGGAAAACAGCAGACAAGGCCATTTCTCTGAGAGTGGTGAATGATGCTAAGACTTGCGTTTTAGCTCTGAGTGGTTTCTCATCACGATGTTGGCCGTATTTATATGTCAATATTATGTTCTTTTATGGGTCTCAGAAGCAAAGGCCGTCAAGCAAAGCACATTCAAAGTTCAAATCTCGGATTCTTTTGTCAACATCACAAGCAACTTGATATGTTGATAGATTGATGCATGCTTTATTAGTTCGATACTTTAGACACAGCTAGAGTAGGAGGGGATCTGAGATCAGTCAGACTTTTTTCAAGTTGAAGCTACGTTTAGCCTCCCTCATATTTTGAACGCTCTCGCTTAATTTTATTATTGCCAGACCTAAACTATTGGTACAAAACATTAAAATAAAGGATGGGAACCGTGATGAATGCTATTGAAAAAAATTATTAAAAACATATTTAGTATAAGTAATTGCTCGTTACATGAGATTAGGCGAACCCATAGGGGTGGGACTAAGAAATATCATTTCTTCCCATGATATATATTCCCCAATCTCACATGCATGAGTTTGTTCAATCTTATGTAACAAACAATTTCTTAGGCTAAACACTCTTTGAATAGATTTTTTAAATCACAATCCATATCCCTACCTCTTATTTTCAATGCTTTGTATCAAATAGAACTTGTGAGTCTTTTCAAAATATGATTATATCATTAGTTATGCATGCTCAATTTAATTTTGGATTTTTTTAATTTTTCCTCTATCATTTCATTTAAAGTTATGATAAAATTATGACTACCATAAAATTAAGTAACATGACAAAACGAAATAGTGGAGGGTAATTGAGTGAAATACTCTCTATATATCGTACAAGCTGAGGCCAGTTGCTTCTAGTCAAATTAAATCATAGAATGATAGAAGATAAACAATAATCCAATATTTTTAATTACTTTATTAAAAGAAGTAATCTAACATTAGAAGGGTATATTTATACTTACTTTTAACTTATAAGTATTATGATTTTTTTGTAATGATAATGACATTTCATAAAGTTATCTATTAAATATTGACATAGATAATTTATCTGACAATTTTATGCAAAAGTAAATTTGGGTTTTAAGGTATCTTTGGGTTCAAACTGAAGCGGATTAAGTCGATGGAGACGTCAAAAATATCAAAACTCTTCTATTTCACCCAAATGCAGTATCAGAACTCAAATTTAAAACTTCTGATTAAATTCTCTATTATTAGTTAAACCAAGTTTTTGATAATAATGAATTACCTTTTTTTTTTCAAACAGTAAAGTGAGATTTGTCTGTAGGGTCTCGATTTTTAAAACCTAAAAATATGCGACAACATGTTATTGGAAGGGAACATATCTGCTATATAAAGTAGAAACCTAAAATAGAATATAAAAGTAATGCGAATCTCTTTACTTTATAAACGCAGTTGAGCATTGTATATTTAAGACAGCAGAAAATCCAACTCAGACGGTATAATAATTCAGCTGTCCTTGGAATTACATAGGCTTGTCGCAGAACCCATTTTAGTGCTTATCACAGTGATAAGCATCTATTTAAATTTAATATGAACAGCTGATATGTAATATTTTTGTTTTTTTAAAAATATTTTTCTTCAATAGATACATAATCCAGAATAAATGTAATCTTAATTGTGAGTTTTTTTAAAAAATAATTTTTTATTTAATAATTACTAATTGAAAATTTTAAATCTAAAACATTAAAACCATAGCTCAATGGTTTAGATGTCACCACAATAATGAGTATCATGGTACTCAATTGTGATAAGCACAAAAGCTAGTTCCTTATTATCCGCTATGCTGTGCTGCAGGTGGAGTGTCATGATTGTCGTGTTGTGATATTGAAGCATCAATATCAATAACATAGATTATTACTTAGCTTGGGTTTGGCTTGTGTAACCCCTGCCCTGGCTTGAAACCTATTAAAAAACTTATATTTTTTAAAAATTTTAAACATATATAAATCAATTTAAAATTATAACCACTCAATCCAAATTATTTAAAATGCAAACATAAAATATGAAACCAAATAAATGTTTTAATTGATTTTTCATTCAATTTAGAACGATATTCATCTATCATTCTACCTCTAGCACTGAAAATGGACTCAGATTGCAGTAAATCTGCATATCTCCATGTTTATATATGTGAGGTTCATTTGCAGAAAGGGGGGGAAAAAAAACAGTTATGTGGGCAACGAAATAATGATGTTTTGTAAATAGTTGATGTCATGAATAATCCTACCCCCCTCTTAAATTGAGTCTGGAAGCATATTTAAGCGTATAATACAACTCTAGAGATTTATTCTCCTTGCGTAAGTATTTTAAATGACAGAGACTGAATATCAAACAAAAAGAAACACAATGATTTTCTTCCACAAGTGGAACCTTTTCTTATTGCAATATAATTCTCTAATTCATTAGGCCTTTCAATATCAGCATCCTTCTTGTTAAAATTATTCTTGTCGTTGTTTTCAGTGTTCACCCGCAATAACAAAAACTAAATTTCTTCAAAACATTGAAAGGTCATTTGATGTTGCAACTCCCTTGTTTTAGTTCAATCAAAAACACGGTCAGGAAAGCTAATTTCTGATCCAACAGAATTGATTTAGAGTTTTGTTTTATTATTATTTTTTAAATAGGAGGAAACTTAGATGAATCAAATGGGAACCAAAAATAATAATAATAACAGGCCCAGGCCTTGTGACAGGCTTAATAAACTTATCAGAGAGTCTGCGCCTAACTTGATAAGGGGAACATGCTTTAAAAAAGGCCCGAGCCTGTACTTATTTTAAAATATGTCAGGTTAGGCCACATGTTCCTGACAGATTGTTTGGCCTGCTCCTATTCTTACTCACGACTTTATTTGTTAAGGATGGCATGAGAGGCTCTCCTAATTAACTCATTTAATTCTTTTTGGAAAATCCTCCAAAACAATGTCATAATCTTTTTAATTAATCAGTTTGGCAGCTCCATTCCATTTCATCTCCCTACTCCCAAACGCTACTTAGCACATCCGTGATAGTGCTGTCGTTGTCTGATTTTGTGGACCCACGTATTTCGCCAATATTCTTATATAGTGAGTACTGAGTACTCCATCGGTTTGATTGATGTAATACAGTAATTTTCATTAACATTCAATCATCTCGACATACAAAATACCGATTACAATATAACAGTAATAATGACACAACAAAATAACAAGTTCTTATTATTGGGAAAGCTAGTGTGCGTGCCGCTGCCAAGTGACATGACAGAGGCCAAACACCACATTCACTCCGAATGCAAAAAGCAGAACATGTCGTCCACCACCTGCGATGACAGACGACGTACGATTCTTTAATTTCTCAGAAGCTGCCGACAATATTCCGACCAGAACGCAGCAGATATGCTGATATTAGCTAGTTATTAACTAACTAATTGAGAGCGTTTGTCGATATGGACTTCTTCCTTGAAGAGCTTAGAAGCGGCAGCTTTATCCATGTACCACACCAGTTCACCTTCCTCAGGTGAGATCAGTTTAGCAGGAAGCTTGCGAGAATCTTGTTGATTATCGTGCTTGAAAGCAGAATAAACTGCATCAGAACTAGCAGAGCCAGCCACCACCATTGCTATGTTGGAACTTGAATTTATCACCGGCAGAGTCAGAGTCACTCGGATCGTTTCCTTCTCCCTGTCCTCCACAGAAGCCACCCATTTCTCTGTCTCGTCAAGAACTGGATGATCCGGCATCAGAGAACCCACACGTCCATTTGGTTCCAATCCCAGCAACATCAGATCGAATTTAGGAAGCTGGTTTTTGTTGGATTTTGCTATCTGGTTCTTGGAAACCCAGATTTCGAGTTTCTTCTGGTAACGATCCGCTGCTTCTTCCCGCTCTGATAGGTCGTAGTCAATGGTATTAACATTTAAAGTTCCGGCTGTTCGTGATACCTGAAGAACATTTATCAGTACGTTATATTTCAGGCATTAGAATGAATGAAATTATAAGGTGTAACGAAAGGAAGTTATCATATATTTACCATGGTGAGAAATTCGTCGTAAGCGAGCTTGTGGTTAATCTTTGCGACGACTTGATCGTTGGGCACAAGTCGCTTTTTTAACTGATCTGCTGGCACGAACACTTCTTCTTCCACCCAAAAGAACTGCCACTTCGACCAATCTATTGTATTGACATATGGAGGTTCCGCCAACTTCCTGAAAATCTCCGACCCCATATATACAAAATCACCACCACCACTACCACCACCAAACTATATTCATAATTAACTGGTAATTGATATCGCAACATAATTATAAAAAAAGAAGAAGAAAAGAGCAGTGACCTGAGGAATCTGACAGAAGAGTTATCAGACAGAGCAACTGAGAAGGATCCTTTCTCTTTGATGGATCTTTGGGAGAGTTCAGCGATATCACGAGCCAAAGACTCAAGAAGATGGTCCTCGGAGAAAATTTCCACGTTCTTAAAGCTCTTATCCTCCCTCTTGATTGCCTTCACTACTGTGCCAAACAATCTCCTACCGTTGGATTTCATCAGGGGTTGGTATTGAGATTTCTGTGAAGCTTGGCGTGGCATCATCAATGGCATCGTGGGGGACACTGCTGAAAGTGGCTTTGGGACACTCAAGGGCCTGGTTTGTGTTTGTGGAACGCATGAAGAAGAAGTGAGGAAGACAGTGGACAAAGCCATTCCACAGTGGACAATGAAATTAGCACTTTGCGTTAATTTCAGTTCGAGTGGTTTGTCATCACAACATCACCCGTATTTATATCTCAATTTTTATATTCTTTTCTCAGTCTAAGAAGTAAAGGCAAAGCACATTCAAATTTTGGATTCTTTGACTACCACCACAAGAAACTTGATATCCGCATTGTTTGATATGCTTTGATGAGACAATATCTACGACTTGCCCCACCATAAAGGCTTTTAGACTATGGCCGGTTCAAAATCTAGTTTAGTTTGTTTCGTGCCATTTATAGCGTATCATTGGAATGCTTCTAATTAGTTCGATCTTGAGAAATTGCAGGTGATGGGAGACGACGGAAGGAGAAGAAGAAGGGAAGGCGACGAAAACCATGAATCGGAGCCTTTAGATTGCTGAGCTCCTAGAGATTGAAGATGACTCAGCCTCTGTGATCAATGAATACTTTCTTAGTTAACTTACTTATTTATAATAAATAAATGTTATTTTTTTCAAAATATTCTTATTAATTAAGTGTATTGGTTATAATTACTATCATTACAAGAACTATCTTAGAAAAAAATAAATAAATATGAAAAAAAACAAATTAAATTGGAATCTTATATTAAAAATTAAAATAAAAATCAAATAAGCTCTTATATTAAAACTCATTTGAAATTGAAGACCGAGTTGAATTATCATAATTAATAATTATATGTTATATCAGACCTGGTTATCATGAGCACTATAGCTCATCAAGTTGAATTGAGATGAGCAATTTAAACCGTTCAGATTTAATATTTTTAAATAATTATATTAAAATAGAAAATTATTTTTTGAAAATATGATAGTTAAGAAATCATTTTTTATTTTATACTTATTAAAGTAATTATTTGAAAAAATAAAATAAAATCAAAATTAAATTCAAATCATTTAGATCTAACCTGATCATTTCAAATCTGATGAGTTTGGAATGCTCATCAAGAGTTATGAGCACCCAAACTCATTCCATGTTATATCCCATTTAAAAAAATTAAAAAAATACTTGTGGTGTGTTTTTAATAAAGTATTTCAAACAAAACAAGAATTTTGTATTATATAAGAAAAAATATCAAAAAAATTTTTTTGGAAAAAAACCATATTGGAGGTACCTATATTTTTTTTATCTTAAATTTAGTACCTATGTATTTTTTTCTCTTAATTAAATTATTTAAATTTATTTTTTAAATAACATTAACTCTTATAACTTTGTTCTACTAGTATTTTTAGTCTTTATGATGTTAATAGAACAAAATTAAAATTTTGATTAAAAGAAAAAAAATACATATGCACTAAACCAAAAATTGAAAAAAAAAATATAAGTACTCCAAAATATTTTTTTAAAATTTTTTCGCTTGTACCATATGAGTTGAAATATTTTCAACATAACTAAATTAGACATGAAATCATATAATTCTCATCCAGCCTCATAAAAATGCATTAGAGGCATGATCAAATCACCAAGAAAACCCATTCGTATCAATAAAAGTATTGTCACTATGAATCATATGTGGGCATGTCGCAACTTCATGTGAATGTGGGTTGTAAAGTAATTACATATTTAAAAGTATTTTCTAAAATTGCATTTAAACGATAATACCAAAACAAAAAATAGTTTGCAACAAAACAATTTCACATAAAGCGCAAAAGTAATTTAGTTTTTGTATAAAAAAATTAATTTGGATTATTTTTGAGCTAAAGATGTAAACATGTTAAATGAATTTTATAAAGTAGGTACTAAATAATTTGTGTTCCCAATCCAATCCAAATAGGCAAATAGATACTAAAACTAATTTTATAAAATTAATTCTATCCAATTGAGGGAAAATAATTTTTTTTGGCCATCGACAGTGAAAATAAAGTGAGATTATGGGATAAATGCATAAATAAATAAAATTACTTGTATATTCTGATTTTTTTGCCAACAAATACTTATGTATTCTGAAATTCTCTCGGAAAACCCTAATCAGAAACTACCCCTATATATTAAGAACCATCAGACGCGGAGAAACCTTATCCGCCAGAGGTAGGAGGCGCAAAGGAAATCGGCCGCCATGCAGATCTTCGTGAAAACCCTTACTGGCAAGACCATCACCCTCGAGGTCGAATCCAGTGATACCATTGACAATGTCAAAGCTAAGATTCAGGACAAAGAAGGCACGTTTCTTCGTCCTATGGTTGAATAATATAATCGATAATCAATTTTGCTCCCTATTATTAACCGTGGTTGTTCTTCTCGTCTAGGCATTCCACCGGACCAACAGAGGTTGATATTCGCCGGGAAGCAGCTGGAGGATGGCCGTACTCTTGCCGATTATAACATTCAGAAAGGTTAGTCTTACAGTTCACCTAGCCTTGGCTGTTTAGATGCTTTAAAAGCGGGGAAAAACATGTGGGGAAATTTGTAGTTGAAGCTGTCTGTTATTGTTCATTCAATCCCAACAAGAAAAACGAATAATCGTTTCAGTTGTCTCAAAAGGATTTGGATCATGGGATGTCCTGTTTTATGTCTCCCGCTGGTGTCTTTCTGGGAAAGACATATGAGAAGAGCATTGACAAGTTTGTTATTAGTCAGATTCGATTTAATCTATGGTGAGCCAACTGTGAATGTCGAAATTTTATTTAACTGGATGGTGTATGAAAACTAGATGTCATATACTTCTTTCAGCCCCCACTTGAATTATGAATTTTATCGGATCCTTCACATATTTTGCAGAGTCAACATTGCACCTTGTTTTGAGGCTTAGAGGTGGCATCATTGAGCCGTCATTGATGGCATTGGCCAGGAAATATAATCAGGACAAGATGATCTGCCGCAAGTAAGTTCACGCAGAATTGCTTTATGTTCATGTTAGGAACCCAAATTGTGAGTCGTTGCATGTGATTTGCCAAGAGGTAATCGGTCCCAACCATCAATATGTTGAATTTTAAATCTGTTTAAGCGACCTTATCTACTGAGTTTTGATTATGTTGCTTTTTGCTTCCTGTCTCTCTAGTTTAAGAGCAAGAAATTTTCAATGTCATTTAAAATGAATGTCATCATCAGCAACTTTCAAATTTTAGTGGGACTTCAGATTCTTCCTTTCAGACAATAATTCGAAATCATATGAAGTAGGATGTTCTAGGTGTAGTGGATTATTATATATGTTTCTTATGTTATCAGAATATTGTACTGCTTATGTTCAGTTACTGGATGAAAGACAGCTGGTCTGTTTGGCTTAGGGCTAAGGCCCGGCATAATTGAGTTTCATCATATGTTCATTCCTACGTCTTGGAAGATATTAGTGGCTTAATGCTTAGGTTAGATGAATTGGCTTCATACCTGTCAATAGTGTGATCATTGCTGTACTTTTGTTTCGCACGCTTGCTTGCAGGTGTTATGCTCGTTTACACCCTCGTGCGGTCAACTGCAGGAAAAAGAAGTGTGGACACAGCAACCAAGTATGCATTTTGTTGTTCTGTTTCTGTTAGTTACATTTTTGACCATTTATTATAATGTCGTTTCTTCTTGTAATCGTTATAGTTTAATCAGTGTGTTTATTTCTTAAATTGCAGCTGAGGCCAAAGAAGAAAATCAAGTAGACTGTTTCTTTCGCGAGTTATGCGGTGTTATCATGGATTTCGGCATTGGCCTTGGAGTCCTGATAGCTCTCTGGAGTGTTAGGGTTGTAGGTTCGTAGTTGAGCTACAAATATTTTTGGAATTGCACTGCCATAGTTTCTTATGATTTTGATCTTTTTCTGAGATGCATTCAAACGAATTATGTTTCCGTTTTATGTGATGATACCGTGCTTCTCTTACCATTGAAATTGGCCAGCGTCTTTGTTTTCCTTAGCATGTTTAAATTGTTGCTAGTTACCAGAAGATTGAAATTTTACAAGTCAACCTTCTTCGATTTGTGAACATAATAAAGAGAACCAAATATTTTAAATTATTTACTAGGAAAGATTAAATGGCTCGTTCTAACACTTAGAAGTAAATTGCACTCCTCGCATCTTAGAGGCGATGTGGCGAAAGTATTCTTCACGGCAGCCAGCAAATGATGTTTTTAACGTGCATTTACAATGCAGTGCCCTGACGCTCTAATCAGTTGTGGTGCTTCAGTAAAGTTTAGCAAGGGCGACCAAAATATGGAACACCTAATTTTCCCTGAACATCTGGCTCGTCCGGATAACCATTGAAACGTTCAACCAATGGGAAGTGTTTCGAGGTCTTCATCTTGTATCGAGGCTGCGTTTCACCCTTTAATATTTATCTGTAATAAATGAATGCCGAGCTATCAGTCGATGGTTTCTTTTTTCCTCCCAAATTTCCTTTTGGTGTCAAAGACGCTAGGTATCTTACACAAGTATATGCAGAAAATATAAAATGATGAAGCGGATTGAGAGGAGTTTCACCTGGTTTGGAAAATGTTCTGGATCATGCTGCGAGGAGACTCCTGTGCTGCAAATTCTAACTGAAGCAACTCATCTGAAGAGAGGCGCCACCCAAGAGCACCCAAATTTTCTCGTGCTTGTTTTATTGACTTCACTCCTGGTATTGGTATCGTCCCTTTGCTCACACACCAATTTATCGCTACCTGCCATCATATTACCAAACCGTTAGTCCTTCGTTATCGCTGCCGGCAACATCACCGAACCAAACTACCCTTGTCAGATGTATCACACTTCCAATTTTTTTCCTGGGAGTGATGGTGACACGAAATTGCTTGTGCGTGTGTCGCAGCCAGAAACCAGGCACAAGGGGAAAAGATATTTACTTGCGCCATGCTTTTGCGTCGTTTTTTAGCAATCTCACTCAAGGAACCCAGTAAAGGCTCCAATCCAGGTAGGATTTGTCTGAACAACAAGCCCCTGCGAGGCAAGATTATAACTTAGTTACAATTCAGAAAAGCTAATAATGCACAACTGTCAATTAATGGCATGACATATAATGCGCGCCAAAACTTAAATATCAACACACCGAGGCCCGGTTGGAAGCTTCGATGGTGAATATTTCCCAGTAAGCATACCAAGTCCTAAAGGACTATAAGCGATCAAGCGAATGCCCAGAGAATCACATATATTCTTTATCTCTAACTGATCTCTCCCCATGCTCAGCAGAGAAAACTGCACCTGCAAATTATTGAGATATGAAGAGCAGTAAGAATACAAGCAAAACACCCCAATTCTGGTAGGTGGCTCCAGACAGACATGGATGGTCCAATATCCCAAAATTAAAAAACTCAACAGCTTGAAGTGTCCTGGGTACTCATGTTCATCAAATTGATCTTCTCTTCCAGAAACGCAATAGGAATGTAAATATACAGTTGATGCTGGCTTTCTAGTAACTTGGAAGTATATTTTGCTTGGCATTTTATTTCTTGTTCTTTAAAGCATCTCGAAGACATTTATCGGTTACGACTGGCCTCGGAGTCGGACTATGCTTATTTATCACTATTGAGAGCCTGGAACTACAAATAACTGCCCGTTTTGTCCGGCGAATCCTGCAACTTCAAATTCTACAGCTATGAATAAATATTTATTTATTCACCTGGGCTGAGCATAAGGGGACTCCCCGCGCTTTCAAATAATCATGTATCTTCAATAGTTGCCTCGGTCCGTAATTGCTCACTCCAACAGCTCGAACTAAACCCTGAAGGACAATGTAGTTATGATTATGGCATTTTTTATCAATGAAGAAACTGATATGATTGTACTTTCGTAGCAACTAATGGCATGCATATGTTCAGTTGAATTTGATAAAGAAGAAAGAAAAACGATCCCACTGAAGAAATTATACAGGCACCCTGAATGATGGAATCCACATTAAATACTAATAAGATGCCGTTCGTGTATTCCTCCTACTGCAGCTTATAGTACTCCTCCGGTCCTTAATATAAGACCAGTTTAACTAATTTGATTAGATTAAGAAAGTTAGGTAAGTTAGTTAATTATAAAAAATGTGACACATTTTTCCTAAAATATCATAATCATCTTTCTTAATACCCTTCTTCTACTTGATTATAGTTGAGGGAGTATTCATAGGGATAATTTAGAGAAAATTAATAAATATGAGAAATTGGTCTTATATTTAGAACCAAACCAACTCAACAATTAAGTCCTATATTAAGGACCGAAGAGTATATCTTAACATGTTGCACAGCTAATGTCAGCTATCATCTTAGGATAAACACGTTTAGGACAGTCTTTAAGGTGATGATTGGATGGGGAGGATGGAAAAGGTTTCATTAAAATATCTCCCCCGTGTCAGTTATAATAAGGAGGTCAGGATATCTTCCAATGTAATTTATCCACAATTTTACATTCCCCCTATTTGGGAGATTTGGAGGGAGAAAGTTTCCCGAGTTGGGGTTAGTGGTTCATTCCACTTCTGTTCGTCTTTCCTTCCAGCTCCCTAATACACCCTAAAGATTGTTGACTCAGAAGTCTATTTTATGCACCGAGTAATCCCACCACTGATTACTGAATAAGTGAATATGAGTTATGGTAACCTTCTCATACATTGCCACAAGACCATCCCAGAGAGCTCGCTCCTGCAAAGGAGCATAATTGGCAGTCGACCAATGCAGTTGTCCTATTCCAATTTGCTCAAGCTGCATTCGATCTAGCGATGCCCTGATAATTTATTAGGCTAGAAGTTAATATCATAACAGTAAGACAAAGCAAGCTTAACTTTGTGATGGGAGATTGGAAGCCAGGAAGTATTTGAGAAGAGTGCAACCATTAATCAAGTAATTATTTAGGTGAATCATAACATATGAGGGATAACGTATAAGAATACCTGCAAGCATCCACAAATTGACCCGGTGTAAGGCGCCATGGGTATGCTGCAAACTTCGTGGCAATTACTATCTCACCCTGGCCACCCTTTTGCCCTGAATGCACCATTTTGTGAACAATTGGAAGAATTCATCATGATAAGCTAGCATGTTTTAATGTGATGATGACATAAGAGAGGAACTCCTATAATCTAGTAGTATGGGAGAGGATTTATTTTCTGGGCATTCTAAGTTACAGCAATGCTTATGCTTATATGAAGATTCATTCGGCTACATACATGACATTGATAACGAATATTAATGTCAACCATACAGCCATCACTTATGAAGGCCTAACCACATGCACATCTACATTATACAAATAAACAACTACTTCAACTAGGTTCTAGTATGACCACCGTCTATGCAGTTGAGTGTGAAAATAAAGAACTGTATGACAATATTCACCCAAAAAAAAAAAAAAGAACTGTATGACAAACACTTTCTTACATCCAGTAACGCACTAGTTACCAGACAATCTGATGTTTCCAGTCCTCCAAATAGATCTCATGAACAAGTTTAGGAAACCTATTGTATGATCAAGTTAGTAAGATGCTTTGCACATGGACATAAAAAAAATTGGACCTAGAATTTACTGATAAAATAAACCACATGAAGTCATGTTTTGTCGTTAACTGAAATTCAGAAAGGAATCACAGAATAACCTTGAAATTCTCGGATGAACTTTCCCAGAAGCTTCTCGCTCTGCCCATTTAACCTCCCTGTCCCATAAGAGTCAGCAGTATCAAAGAGATTGACCCCATTCTCCAAAGCCAAATTGAAGACTTGTTGAAGCTCATTGTCCATCGATTCCTGGTACCCCCAAAGAAATTGATTGCCCCATGCCCACGTTCCAAACCCCATTGGAGACACGCTCAGCGGACCCATCTTCACCTGCCGTTGCCGTTGAAGCTTATTATCGAAACACCCAACCTCAAAAGGAAACTGAACAGAAAAGAGAAGAAATTTTAAAGAAGAATCCCACATACTTTTTGTCTTGGCCAGAAGGGTGGGAATCTGAGAGGCTTGAACACGGAAGATGAAGGCAAAGGGTTCAGGTTAGAAGGGCCGAGACAGCAAGCCGAGAGTGCCATTACTAAATATTGATAATACCACTTCTGAACTGAGCCAGCAAATAGCAATCCCCAGAGTCCAAAGAGCTTAGATTACCACGAGGTAGTTTTATTGGTTGTGTGTGGCAGCGAATGAGTCGTCGACCTCATAGCGGATAGTTCTGTACGGTCGAGTGGAAAGAGAGACACAAATGAGTATATTCTTGCATCCTTCCTTTCCCGTGTGCGTTACTAAAAAAAAATTTTGGCAAACAACTATGCCGCCTCCTTCCCCTGTCCTTCATAAATAAGTACCGTTAAATATTTACTTTAGTTTTAAATATAATAATTTAACCCATTTTTTTAAAATATTTATCTATTTTATTCCTAAATAATTACTATGGTGATTACGTGTCAAGTAGTTTTCATCAATGGTCAAATACAATGTATATGATTAACAAGAATATTTAGAAAAAAAACAACATTTATTTAGTACAAATAATTAATTAACTAATTTTTTAATATTTATAAATTAATTATCCAGCTTTTATATTAAAGTCTGAAATAATAAAACATATTATTTAATAAAACTTATGCACTTAGTTTAAAAAATTTTATACTTTTTTATTAAAATAATTTATAAGGGAAATATAAAAACAAGGAAGAATTCTACAAAAAAGAAGTTTGAAATTACTAAATCCTAAATAATGAATTCTTATAAAAATATGTCGTTATTTGCAAATCAAGCGTTGACAAAACTTATTAAAGTGTGAGAACCAAATCTAATTTAGGATTTGGTAATATCAAACTTCTTTTTGAGAATATAACCAATCATAATCATAAATAAAATGTCTCTATATATATATATATATATTATTTTGTGCCCATTACTCATATATTTAAACTGGATCAATGCTATTACTTATTTAGGGTGTGTTTGGATGAAACCAAATCATAGTTTGGAGAATAGCTTCTGGAGAATGGATTTTGGAAAAAATAGATTTTGTGAAGAATAGATTTTGTGAAAAAGTGATTCTGAGAAGTGAGAGTGTTTGAATAGTTATTATCAGAAGCATTTTTTATATGTATAAATTATTAAAAAAAGCATAAGTTAATATGATAATTACATAAAACATAGATTGTATGATATATTTTAATTTGAAGGAATAAAATTGTTAATAATATATTTTTTACCAACATAATTAATAATACATAAGATAATATAATTAATATGTGTATATTTATTTATAAGATATAAGAATAAATATGTTTATAAAAAATTAACTAAGGAGTATTAAAGTCATATTATTGTTGAGATTTACTCTAATAGGTACAATCATACTCTCCAATTTGAACCAGAAGCAGAATAGATTCACTTCTCCCGAAACCATGGTTTTGAGTTCCAAAACCATGGTTTCAGATAATTTGTGCCTGTTTGGGTTGTTTTTTTCCCAAACCATGGTTTGGCATGCTATCCTTATTCTAATATTTGCATTGGATCTAGCGGTTATTCTCATTCCTGGGAAACCGTGTCATTTTATCCCTGCTTTTTGTGCAGAAGGTTGATAATGTCCACTCACGAGTGTGCGCGAAGCTCTCTCTTCTTATCCTTTGATGCCTGAGTAAATCTGCTCCCATCCCCATATATATATATATATATATATATTTATCGTACTGTCTGCACATTAACCAAGGATCCTAAATGGATAACAGGAAGATTCGAACTTGATTTTACATAGGTGATATTTGATTTGTCAACTGTTTCATTTAGCATTGGTGGAGACAAGTTGCCTAAAAGATTGAAGTGTCAGGGATTGCATATATCATAAGGCTTAACGCAAGTTGAGCACTGGATTTAAATATACTCCTTTCAGACAAGTTATCGTCTAAACACAAACACGACGACTAAATTTATAGCAGGTTCTGCATATATTTTCCTTATCTATCCCTGCTTAGTGCTTTAAATTCATAACAACAATGCTCTTTTCTCGTTTATTATCCATGTATTGTAAGATTAAACAAAGTTGATCAAAGTGAAACAAGAGAAAGCAACTAAATTAACTGATACACTGCTCTATTATTAACTCGCTCATCACCAAACATATGCCCCATACTTGAAGTGTACTAGTCATGACCTGAAAGATTAGACACGCCAGTTGCATAGCTCGTATAACAAGACAGGATTGGGGTAAGATTAAAGGTTTCAGGACTGGTCACCTTCTGAATCAGAGGGGCAAAAAGCAAAAAAGGAAAGAAAAAGGACCGCACTGCATGGATTAGAATGGCTTGCAAGCCTGAACAAACACAGACATGGCACATTCTTTTTTTGTTCTTCTAAGTCTCAAATCGTTAGAGTGAAACTATCTTCATTCTGCAATATATCATCGCCAGAACCTGCAAATTCTCGCCTTTGCTCTTCTAGGCCAAGCCTTTTCTACATCCTGCCTGGGCTGGAATGCTTTCTCATGGTGGCCTGAGAGGAGATAAACAGCCCTGTTCCTTCTTGGAGGAAACATGCAAAATGCAGTGCAGTGTGAGTGCACGCACTTTTCAAGTCCAGAAATCCAACCATTGTGAACTACAAGGTTGATCTAAGAGGCCACTTGGATCTCCACTGTACCATTTTTCAAGCTCGTCCATTCTCAGAAGTTGGTATTCTGTATCATCAGAATATCCATTCTTCTTGCTCATTTCACTTTGATCTTGTAAATGCGTGCCTTCTTTGACCTCCAAACCCTCATAAGAGGAACTTGGCTTCACTTCACTCCTCCAATCTGAGCTCTTTTTCTCTTCACCATTGTGAGATGCCTCCATTAGATCATGCAGATTCTGCAACTGTTGAAAACCAGATACCATAGTTATTACAGACTATATAAGGAAACTGAATTAGCTTACACGAAGATTTTAATAAGTAAAGAAACCAGAATATTTACCTCCACTTGCAAGGACTCCTTCTCTTTCTGAAGGGACTCAAACCTGGACACTAAATTGTCATAGTCATCTCTGAGCTTCCTGTACTCTTGCTCTATCCATTTGGATTTCCCTCTCGCTCTTCTGTTCTGGAACCATATGGCAACTTGGCGAGGCTGCAGCCCCAGATCTCTTGCTACCTGGATCTTCTTCCTTGGTTCTAACTTGGACTCTGACTCAAATATGCACTCCAATGATCTGATTTGTTCATCACTAAACCTCCTCTTGTTCACCACTTTGTTTTTCTTCCTTGGATTTTGAGGTGGCTCTGAGCAGCTGATGAAGCTTTCTTCTGATGCTTGAATATACTCCTCATCAACCTCCATCATTGAATTAAATCAGTGAACCTGTGAGAAGAGAAGGATTTCAAAGGCCGTGGGATGGGTGGTCTGTTTATACTTCCTTGGAAAAAAAAAAAAACAAAAAGCTTATGTGCATTCAAAGTCTGATGGAATGGCTAGGGCTGCAGAATATGCTGTTATAGCCGTCAGGAAAGTATGTGAAGGCCATTTCTGTCACGTTATTGGAACTTCAAATGGAAGAATCATTGTGACCTACAACATTAGATACCGTGTGGCTCTTGCTTTCTTTTGCTCTGTAAAGAGTTATCTTTGCCTTTTAAATTGTAGGCTATCTGTAGGTCCAATGGCCAATACTTTTTTCTTTGTTTGAAGAAGAAAATGCCAACTTGTCACCCACACAAGCCCACGTGTCTGTTTCATTTTCATAACGAAGAAAAATCTGCGGTTTATATACTTATCTGTAACAGGGACCTTTTCATGTAACTTCTGGTTTTTTACTACATGCTAAATCTTTAACCTTTGCCACATGTATCATATTGTCTTATATATAAATATCCAAATATATTTGGTAAGAAATGATTGTGACAGGAATCAGATGTTGCATTGAATGTGGGTTTAAGCTAAATTGAGGTAAACTGTTAATGTCAATAATGAACATATTACTGTTTTTGCTTTAATTATACAGACGGTGAACTCTTATCATCTGTCATGGTTCCCAGGTTCCTTGTATGTTTCGTGTTAGTCAAACAAACTTATCATGTTTATAGTTATTATGAAGATGACAACGTTTGTACAAAGCAGCGAAAGAGGCACTATGGACACATCTAAAAGACAAAAGACTTTTTTTGTTAAGCTAATTAAGCTTTGCTCAAAAGGTCTTCTGTATGATACCTTACAAACCAAAAGTAAAAAGACACATAATGCCAGTTAGTTTAGCATACTTAAAAACTAATATGAAAGGAAAAAGTTTTATTTAGTTTTTTGCTGACAGGTGTGGAATTTTAAAAAAGAAATTTTGAGAAGGAACGCAAATCATCAATCATCATGTACCGTAAACCAAATAAAGTTGATGAACCTTTTGTTGCTTTCACACTTAAGAATGATATGGAATTCAGACCGTAATCCCATATGAACCAAAAAAAAATCAACTTTTTTAATTATCACTAAATTTTTTAAACTGTATTAGAGTTAAAAAAATAGAATTTAAAATATCTATAAAGAAACCTACTTTCACTCTAGATTGATGATGCAACTTTCTAATTTGTAAAATCAGTCCCGAAGAAAAAACGATCTTGTTGTGCAGAAGTCGTCACAATGATTCAGAATAAAAGAAACATTTGTTGCCCAGCTAATTGCAACTTGAGGATAGCCGCAGCTAATTTAGCAAGAAAGGACATTTACTTTCACTGCAGTGAGATTCCCCTCTTTTGTTTTTGAGTTAGACAAGAAGATAAGATTTGAGGCATTTAATAATGCAGGAGGATTCCATCAGAAACAAGGGGTCAATTTAAGCGCCTAATACAGACAAAACAAAAAAGTTGTCGGGTTGTGAGGTTAAATCAAAGAAAGCAAGTTCTTATAAATATTCACAATCATACCATGTGGCCATGAACAAACCCACTGAGTTCCTCCCCCTCCTTTTGTTTTTTAGCTAAACTATGGATACGAGTCCTTATCTCTAAGGTTAAACTGTTAAACCTCAACTTGATCTCCGGTTCATGATTTTAATGGTCCTGCTTTTTTGTGGGGCTGGTGAGATGTCTCTCGCAAAACAACGAAAGCTTAGGTCCGTATATAAGCTGAGATTCACTGCACTGAGTAAAAAAAATTTTGCATTGTATTTCTGAATCATGTTGAGAAGGCAATTCCACGTAAGCTTAGGTCGTGGAAATTTGAGGTCTCTTTTGCTCTCTCTGGTTTTTGTCGTCGGGGAATTGGGTTCGGTTTTTCGTTTGTTCACAACCAAACATTTATTGATTTGAGACGCCGACAACGTACATGAAACCCTGTTTCAACTCCACGCTCGCACATGACAATGCCATATATTTTGGCATGAGAAAGAAACTATGCTTCTGGCTGAGTTAGGCGTTCGCTTTCTTTGTGAGGCACAAGAGTGCTGACCAAATGCCGAATTGCGTGGCAAGTTTTGGACTTTGGAAAAGGAAGAAATTATATTAATAACTAAATATATATAAGTCCATAATATCGTCATTAATATTTTTTTTTTGTTACAAAATCATGACATTAGTATTTTGAAGTGTACTGTTAAATAAAGTCTCTGCTGTCTCAGATCTACCTGCACCTATGGGACTTGTTATGCTTAAATTGGGACTGCCTCTTTTATAAAATTAATTAATTAACCAAATGCTCATTATATGGTTATGGATTTTAGCTTTTTTGAAAAAGGACAATGCGAGGGTCGTAGGCTGGTAGCTAGCTAGGTCGCTAAAGAGAGAGTGTCTTTTTTACTGATGTACGAGTGAAAAACTCATTAATCTATTACCTATTAAGAGGGTTTCACATAATACAATGCTCAAGGTTCTCTTCAACCTTAACTTACAAGAGTAACGAGACTCGTTGTCATAGAATTCAACGAAACATAATACTCTGTCCTTAATATGAGACCTATTTAACTAATTTGATTAGATTAAAAAATTAGTGAATTAGTTAATTATAAGAAATGTGACACGTTTTTTTTAAAACATCATAATCATTTTTCTTAAATCCCCTCTCCCTCTTCTATTTGATTATACTTGAGAGAGTATCTATAAGAATAATTTAAAAAAATTGATAAATATGAAACATGAAATTAAAATCAACTCAATAATTAAATTATATTAAAGATAAAAAGAGTATATTGCTCCAAAATTGAGGTTATAGTTATCAGTTTTTATCAAAAGCTAGCAGAAAGAGGGGTCCAGTTTCGTGGTTCATTGCATATATATTATTAAAGTGGGGTTTGGTCATTGGTACGAAATGGGAAAAAAGCACTCTTAATAAGATGTGTCCAGATCCAAGAAATTGATGAGCAGCCATTTATTTCGGCTGGAAGAGAAATGATGAGCCAAGAGAAGCATCGTCCACCGGGGCCTCCCTGTCAATCTCTTTCAAAGTAAACGTGAAAAAGACACCAACGTTTGTCTCAGATGGCCATGATTAACCTTGCTTTTCGTTTTGGGTAAGCACAGATTAGCCCACAAGTAGACATATTGCTGTAAACGTCAAGCTGTGGAAAAAGATGTTTAAAGCATCAGCCAATGGGGTTTCGATAAGTGTCAAAGGGCAAGAATCTACTGTGGTGCCAAATGGGATGACCCACTAATACAATTGACAAGCGAAGTTAGGTAATTGGGGACCTAAAAGTCAAAGTTGAATTGATGGGTCTTTCGTATTCATTATTATTAGGTGTGGGAGTTAGATTGGTATAATCATTGTGAAAAGAATCAGAGCTACTAGAAAACTGTAATATTCACTCTCGTTTAGCGCTTCCCTTTTGTCATCGCCCCGTACGCCACACTCTATCTATGCAAGTTTATTGAAAAAAAAAAATACTCTTAAATACAAATCATTTGTAAAGTAATTCATAATTTTTTTTAAATTTTACTCCTATTAAATATAATAAAAAAATAGGTGAGGTGTATAACATATTTTTTTATAATATCAATCACAAGGGCAAGTATGAAAACTTTACTAGTTAAATGCATTGCTTATGGTATAACAGAGTGATATACTTATAAAAATCTCACATAACCAGATTGATTTGTTAATGTCATCTTTTTTTTTTTTTGAAAAATTACTATATATTTTGAATAATTACTAAAAGCTCTTGTAATAAGCAGATAACAAGTTCCTAAAAACAAATTTTATGTTGCAACGTGCTTGTCATCAAAATTTTTTAGTGATTGTATTCTTTCTTTAAAAGTTTAAAACCTCGTACTAATTTACTCTTGTTCTTTTGGTGACAATGCAATGATTTATTACCATCCCTACTGGATTCGTTGGGTAGCTGGTTAAGGTAGATAATTAAAGACCTTTACAATTTCATTTACACAGCATTTTTATGTGAGAATTTAACTAGACGCGCGTAATTGTTAACATGTATGTATTTTAATTATATAAAGCAAAATAATAAGAAGTTTCAGCGACCAGAGAGCTGTGTTGCACCGATCTATAAAGAGAAATCAATATGTCTACTACAGTTAGCCATCTTCTTGCTTGTTTTTTGTTTTTGTTTTGTGGTTCTTCGGATAGATCTGATTGCAATTTGGAGAAAAAGGGGAGAGATAAGTTTGAGTGTAAGTCAAAAGATAGTTGAGATCCAAGTTGAAAAGGCAGTCTTCAAGAAAAAGAAAGGACCATTTTTTTTCAGGAGATATTGAAACCTCAAAGCAAGTTGGGTTCTGAAATCTTTGTTTCTTTTGGTATCCGTGACTTACATTAAAAAAATGCTATTTTCTTTTGATTTTAAATTCCTTCTTTCATTCCTCATTAATCCCATGACGATGGTATCTCAAACACTGTCATTTTTATCCCAAAAACTCTCAAGTCCTGTGAGTAAAAATGATAGAGTTTACCGTGAGGCCTCATTAGCTAGTTCAAGTATATCTAAGTTCTAAACAATGATATACTTTTTGATCCTATTTATAAGATCTTGTTTGTAGTTCACAAATGATATTTTATAATTAAGACCAAAGATAGCATTTGAGGATATTTATAAATGCCTTAAACAGAGCAGAAATGTTTGGAAAACGAAAGATATGACATGTAATGTCAAAGTGCGCTTGATGCGATGTCCTGTTTTTAAATGTAACCGTTTCATATTCGTCTGTGCTCTAATGAGCTAATATGGATATTAAATTTGGTTACAAATATTATCTCCTATATTTATCGTTTTTTTTTTATAAATTACTTACTTAACCTATAAAGTGATGTATAATTTCATATTAAACCTGAGTATTTAAAAAATAATAATATCAATTTATTATAATTTATTTATTTATTTGACTTTTTTAATTAATCTGTTCAAATTAGTTAAGTAGCTAGAGTCTTTTTTTTTTTTTTTGTGGGCCAGAAGCTAAAGTAAGTATTCAGATATTTCTTTTTCATTTACTAAATTCAAATTCATGATCTTACTTAAAAGGTATCAAGCCACTTATACTCATCTCAGGTACAATTGTCAGTTGGTTTGCATCTTTTTCATCAAATTTTAAATTGTCGATCGTCATTTTTAATCCAATCAAAATTAATAGTATCACTATGGAAATTAAAATAAACTCGCTTATTTTTGCATTTGAATTTTATTCATTTCCCACAGGATGCATTCAAACAGTTATCACGTTTTTCTTACCAGAAGAAAATGACCTTCTTTGCTATGAAATTTCCCTTTTGGTCTTCCACAGGTCCTTTGGGTTGTATTCTGGGCTAAGGGAACCAGGGTAATTAATTAATGCCTTTTTCTTGAGTTTTGGTATAGGAAGATGGGCTCGAGGATTTCTTCTGATTTGGCTAAGATAGAATCCATCGTCTCTGGGCCAAAACACAATGGGTTGAGCCCAATGACAAGAAGTTGGCCCAGCCCAAAGAGATCATGAATGGGATCAATAAAATACCACCCGCATAAAATTAATTTTAACAATTTTTTCATATTGATTTGAAATCCCTCGTACTTATCATTCAAATAAATTATTCAATTATAATAAAAGTGACATACTTTTTAAAAAAAAATCATGTGTAATATTAAGATATATATCAATTTAATGAATAATAAGAATGAACCATGTCATTCAAGCAAGAAAAAAATGCTGCAATTTTAAATGTCTCACTTTATAAGAAATTGAGAATACATTCCATGTATTACAAAGGTGCGGACTTATTTCAAATCATATTAAGACTAGTTTGTAATTAGATCTCTCTTGGGGTGAAAATAAGCCAGCGGCCTGTTAAAGGCTTGTGACCTGACCTGGCCTCTTTCAAAATAGAAAAAGGCTCAGATCTTTTTATGACTTATTTGGCCTAATAGGCTAGGCCTAGGTTTTTTGGAAAGTCTGATAGGCTTGTCAAGTCTGGCCTAACTTGTTTTTTTTATCTTTTTTTTATTTTTTATTTTATTCTTATATCTAGTTTTGTTTTAAATTTTAATATATAATTATAACTTGCTTTCAATAATATTAATTGTAATTAAGATTTAAAATATTACTCATGACATTAAAATTCAAATAAAAATAATAAAAAAATTATTATTATGCAGTATGTATATTTTACATTTTTTTATTAACTTATGTATTTTTTATTATGTATTTTAAAATTTTGAAAATTACAGACTTTTTTAATAGGCTCAGGTCAAGCCAAACCTTTATACAGGCCAAAAAACTGGAGAAAAAGGCCTATTACAGACCACAGGCCAATATGTACTAACAGGCCTAGCCTATTAAAGATAAAGCTTGGCTTGTCCTGGCTTGATCTGTTTTCATCCCTAATCTCTACTGTAAGTCTTTTGCGCAAAATTTTTTTTTCCAAAATAATGATATATATATCCAAAATTCTCTAGGTGATTGTGAAAAAATAACTAACAGAAAACAAATTTAAAAAAGACTGAATTTTTCAAATCTTAATTTGATCACAGTTATAGTTATTTTACATATATTTAATTTCATAATTTCCATATTTAATTAATTTTGAAAGACCATAGTCACAAATTCATAATTTCTCAAGGTAAAAATAATACTAAATAAATACATAATATCTTGTCTGATCCTCACCTACCCTCCATAGCTGGAATCCAGAGCCATGCCCCTTTCTCTCATCTCTCTCTCTCTCACAACACACACACATACTCATTCTCTGCGCATGACTTTCACTTTGCTGGAATAAAAGCCGAAACGCGTAACTTTCTTCATCTCACTCCCATCATAAAATAATACCCAGGTCCTCAATTTCAGATGCCTATGGCTAGCCACCCTTGTTCTGAACAACCTATATATCGGAAGCTTTCATCTTGTGTGGGGATTGCTGTCTGGTCCAAAGAAATATGACACTCACAAACATGCGCTTCAGATACAATCCTGATTTATAGATCCTGATCTCGTAATTACGGATTTGTGTGTTTTTGTTTAGAGTGTCTCTTCGGACCAGGCTTCATTCCCCTCAACTACTGCTTCCATATTTACACAGTGATGATGAACAAACTCATGATGATCGATCTCCTGGTGAGTTTCGAATCTGATGACATGATGAATTAATTCTGTTTCTGTTATCATGTATTGTTTCTTGTTTTGGAGTTTACCTTATATATGGAATCGCTAGCTGGTTGATTAGGTGCAATGATGAAAGTTTTGACGGCAATATATGTGCCGATGTCCTTGACCTTAACATGGTACGGCAGGCAAAAGGCATCTTATGATCATTTCCTTTTTGAATATATCTACTTGATTTCACTTAGGATCATTATGGTTGTTTGATTTTCGGTCAGTAGTCTCTGTCCTATATATCCTTGACCATCATTAATCAGATCAGAAGTTCACTGCAGAATCTGCAACATCTCATTATGTTCTAACTTCCTAGGGTTTAATTTTCATAGCTAGTCACCGACCTAGCCAGACTTTAAGCTATATATATTTATATATATAGCTGATTATTGGCTTAAATTTATTGCCAGCCTGATATATAATGGATCGACCAACCTGACAAAAGGAAATTAACTTTCAGCTTCAACAATCTTATGAATTCATCATTGTATTTTATAGTAGTGGGTGTGACTGGATTTCCAGGCTGCTAATAAACTCTGAATGCCTCTATGTTCTCAGCTTTACCAGTATATGATGTTCTTCCCCATATTATATTAAATTATGAAATTTCATTAAATATCTTCCTTCAGATCAATGGAAGGCATGTGGATGGAGAAGGAAGTGAACTTGAAGCAATATTGTGGCTTTTACACATTATTCTGTCGAATAGATTCTATTTTATTGCCCTCTTTTTCTCTTTTTATAAAGGAGGCATCTTTCTGCTGTCTTTTGAAAAATCGTTCTTTTCCTTTTCTTTTTAAATATATACACATTTTATCTTTCACAAAATACAAATATATATGAAGTCTCTGTCATGTCTTATTGTCGTGTTCTTGCAACTTCTTCAGGATAAAATAAAAATGAGAAATAAACGAGGCAACTTAAATTAGGTTGAGTCATTTCATCCCAAAAACACCCAGCTTTTTCAGTCGTTAAAACCATGATTAAAGTGAGCTTAACAGTAAGAAGACTCATGAACTCGCGCAAATTAATTAAGAAAACCTGAGTGAGTAGTTTTCTTCGTGCAAGTTCTCCCTTCTCGATAACTACAAGTTTGTTCATCTCCTAGAGTATCATTTATATAAGATTAACCTAAACACACACACACATGCACTATATATATATATATATATATATATATGAATAGATATGCATTAGCTATATGTGTATATATCGGATCAGTCCATCAAAATCATATAAATAAAAGTTGATAGCACAAGGGATGATGTGTGTGTGCTGGGGTAGAATGAGCACTGAGAAGTAAAGGAAGTTTAGTAAAGGGACTGATGATAAATGCACATAAAGAACGATGTGTATATAAAAAGAAGCTCAAGAGATGAGGTCTCAGAGCACTTATTTTCTTTTCCTTCTCTCTGGATAAAGAGAGATTCTGATGTCTCGTACATTCCTCAGCACGAACTAAATTAAAGAAACTGATATTGCCAGTACACATGAAGGCTTTCTGCAGAAGTATCTGTTTTTGCCCACTCCATCTTGTTCTTTCAATTTGCTTCCGACGCGCAGCTTCATTATTATGAACTGTGTAAGCCCACAAAAATTGAGATTCTCTGAAAGTATAAGAAAACAACTATTCAATGGTGGGTGGGTTGCAGGTGCGCATCACACGGACAAAAGCAAAAGAATGGTTTCTTTTTTAGTATTAAATGCAGATATATATGCTGATATGGGTGGAACAGAAAGGGATCACTGGAAATGTAGGCTTCATGTGTTGCCAATTGTTTGTTAAGTTGGTGACAAAATCATACGTTTCCTCCTCACTTTCCGACTTTCCTTCCATTACTTGTGCAGGTTTCCTTTAATAATAAACAGTATTAATTATTTAATCAAATATATTTTGTTATAGTGCCGAAGATTTGAGAATCATTACTCATTAGCATAAGGTTGCCGCCATTATGCTTTTCTTTTTATTTAACCAAAAAAAATCTATATATATATGTATATTAAAAAAAACAGAATAGTTGTCTTGTTAGACCAATTTCTATCTTCGGCTTTAATTATAAAATATTATTTATAGTCTATAAATAAATTCTTATAATTAAGACCAGAGGTAATATTATTAATAAGAGGAGATAATTTTCTCAATAAACTTCCATGGAATGAGTTCAAGACTTGCACAGATCCCATGAATAGCCTATAAACATCGTGACTCCTCGCAATCTCTTTACTCCGTGCATGTCAAGTTGTTGCAAATTAAGCCTTTATAATATTTGCAATTTGTACACACCCTTCTATTTTTGAGATATATATATATATATATAGAGAGAGAGAGAGAGAGAGAGAGAGTTATATATATAAGGGAAACAGGTCTCCTTGTTGATGGGTTTTGGACTCAAAAGGCTGCAAAAGTAAACTGGGCTAAGAATGACCGCAATCATCCAATGGGCCAGAACATGGGCCTAAGTGGGCTGGGACGATGACCCGACCAAGTTAAGTTTCTCTCTTTCCCTCACATTTTGGGCCTGGACTTTTTTTCACAGTTTAATTTTGCTGCGTACCAAGAGAGGACCCCAAATTTCCTGCTTATCAAGATCTACCCCTACCGAACATTATCTTGACGGTGAAAAATACAAAGGGATCATCAGGATTATGAGGCAATCTAACTAGTGAATTCGCATGTAAACAAACAATATGAATGGTGATATTTTAATTTGCTCAGACAAGCTCTCTGTTGGATTCGATCTGTTGAACTACAAAACTAATAGAAGTAGTTCAACTACACCTACCCAGATTTTTTAAGACACTTCTTTTAGGGAGAATTATTATAAAGTCCCAAGTAAAAAACACAATTACTAAAAAGTCTCAAAGACAATATAAATAGCCTACGGTAACAAGTTCAAAAGTAGTAAGTAACAACTGTTCCCTTATCATTAGAACCTACTAGTAATTTTTTTTAGGACTTTACTGTAATTCTCCTTTTTTTAACAAGTCGTCCTTCCTCCTTCTTAATGGGTACTTCTTAATCACTTCGTTGGCTTCACATTGACTACAATTTGGTTTTGAGTTTTGACCAGCATTTTAATAAAAACGTTTAATTGGACTATGGCATCAATGTACATTCATATGGAGTAATCCTTTTTTCTCTTTTTTCTTTTTTGTGATTCAGCCAAAAAAAAAAAATTGAAGAGATATATACATCACCAATGGTTGAAGCCGGCCTAAACCTCAATGAATGCGTCTTTAAATGCGAGTGGTTAATTTTTCAACATATAAGATTCATATTAACTTTAATGACAAGTGGTGGAGCCGGATATTAATATAATAGTCTATGCACATAGGGGAGGGAAAGCACATGGGAAAGCGTTCTACCATAGTCCTATTAATAATTTAAACGGTTTATATCATTTTTACAAAAATAAAGTCCATTGTGCATTTAATAGCCATGTGAAAGTCAGAAAAATGTTACTATTAAGAAAAAGATATTTACAAGAAAAGCCACACCTTTCATATTGGTTTTCAGTTTTCACACTGCCATTTGCAGTTGAGCCTAAACTTGGAAGGTAGAGGGCATGGCATGTTGGATGCTTCCTTTGGTGTTGTGAAAGGAAATGAAAGAGGCGTGTACGTACGCAGATGGATAAGCATTTGTGAGGATCCCAGATATTTGGTTACCTTAAGGTGTAAGAAGAGAGGGGGGTATCTTCGGCGACACTTTCACGAACTCATTTGTATCAAACTAATCATCAAAACAGACAAGCTTAACTATGTTTAGTACGTTATGTCCGCAATCAAGATTGCACCCAAAAAAACCCTTGATATATTCAATTATTTGTCCACACTTTTTGGAGGGGCGAGCCAGCCTGCTTCTTCCTTCTTTGTCCAGGCTTCCGTAATGATTCTTTCTTCTTGTTACATTATACTAATACTCCGGTTAGCCAACTAGAGTTGGCTCATAATTTATAAGATCATGAGTTCGAATTTCACTGTTGATATGAGAACTTTGTTGGTAGGCAATCTATAAGTACTTCTATAAGCGTTCTTTGAGTCTGAAAGTATATTCTAGCCTTAATGAGCTCCAAGGATCCAACTCACCTAAACTTTTATATACAAAAAAAAAAATGATTCTTAATATAAAGCCCAACTAACTAATTTTTTGAGATTAAATAAGTCATTACTATCTCCAATTCTTAATATAATAGTTAATTGACTAATTTGAATAGATTAAAAAAAATCAATTAAGTTAGTTATTACAATAAATAGGTGTTGTCTTTCTTAAAGTATCATTAATATAAGAACTACTTAACTAATTTAAATAGATTTAGAAAATTAGTTAAATTAGTTATTTGTAATAAATAGGTGTTGTCTTTCTTAAAGTATTATTATTAATCAAGTGCATTAGCTAGAATTGCTATTATTACAAGGATTATCTTAAAAAAATTGATAAATAGAATAGATAAAATGGATTAGTGTTTTATATTCAAAACTAAAATAAAAATCAAATAAGCTCTTACATTAAGAACCAAAGGTAGTAAATTATTTAATTTTAATATATGCTACATAATCTTTCTAAAGTATTTATGTGTGTCATTAGATTATATGTCAATTTATAAGTTTGGCAAATTAGTTTGACGAAAAATGATAAATATAAATATTTTAAATTTATTTATTAATTTTTTAATCTTTTTAAATTAGTCAACTAGTATAGGAGGTAATATTGTTTTTGTTTTTTTTGGGATTTCCCTTTTTCCTATTTTTCCTTCCTTCCGTTTTCTCTCAGCTTTCCAACTCAATTGTTGGATCAAATTTTGAGTGATTAGAATTTATCACTTTACAAGATTACTATTAAATTGTGAACTTATGAAGAAAAATAAATAAATTTACATTGTGAAAGCTTGATTTAAGCAGTTTAGATGTATAATTGAAAAATGAAGATTATTTTATAAAATGCTAAATTTTAAACGTACGACATTTAATTTAAAAGCTGAGATGAGAAAGATAAAAAGTTGAAGAGAGAAACAAATGGATTGGAAAGGAATCAATTCCCTATTTCTCGTATTCCATCTTTGCCGACCACACCTACGGAAACTCATCCGTCTGTGCTACTTCATTATTTTATGTCCCGAATAATATCACCTGACAAATTCCCACGCGTCATAATTTCTCCTCAGTCATCATCTTAAAATGGGATTGAATTTTTGCGGCTTTGGTAAAACTTGTTTGCGTTTTCATGGTAAGCAATGATTAAGAAGTTAGAAGCACATATAATTAGTGAAAAGGGAGAAAAAAATTTGACGTTATGTTTAAATTAATGGGCATTTAGATTTGGGTCAAATATCCATTATTTAGATACGTGAAAGACACTATAATATTAAATGAGAAGCGGAATATGAAGGTGTGAAGGAAGGAAGGAAGAAGAAGGTGATGAATCAGATTCTAAGATGAACCAAAAAATGTGGAAAAAGATGCGCCAACTGGAAAGTGGGTGAGAGAGAGAGAGAGAGAGAGAGAGAGAAAGCGGTAAAGAAGAAGATATCAAATTACAATTAAAAGATTAAAAAGAAAAAGAGAAAACCAAATCATCATCGATCATTTTGCCTTTTACAAAAGGCAAAGTCAGAATAATTAGCCGTTCGGAGTTGAAAACTTGAAGCTCAAACCCCCATCATCCTCATCCTCACTGGGCCCTCGTTCCATTATCTCTTGTCAAACAAATCAAAGTCCCTCCCACAACTCATTTCTGTGTTCCCTCCATCACCTCATCTCCCTATCCTAATTCTTTCTTCTCATATATATATCTCACAAACCCAGCACTATTGTTCTTTGGGATAGTGAGATAACATGATAAAGAAAAGGAAAGATCACTA